AATCATATAAAAAAAAAAAAAAAAAAAAAAAAAAAAAAAAAAAGCTCTGCTAAAGCCCTTGAGATATTATGCTATGAGCTGAGAATATAAACTTTGGTCTTTGGCTTTCATTATAACTATTTTGATTGTTGGGACATTTGTTTTCTTGTTTTTTAGTACTGGGAATTGAACCTAGGACCCTGCATTTGCCAGGCAGGCACAGCACCACTGAGCTATATTCTTGGCCTGGGACATTTGTTTTCTTCATTTCCTAGCTCTTTTTTTTTGAAGATAGAGTATCACTATATAGTGATCCTCCTGCTTCAGTCTCCAAGTACTGGGATTACAGGCATGCACCACCACACCTGGCTGTTTCCTAGGTCTTAGAGGTGTTTGTGGATAATGGAAAGACAGATAAACTAGAGGTTTCAAAATGTGGTTCTTGTTGGGTGTGGTGGTGCACACCTATAATCCCAGAATTTAGGAGGCTGAGGCAAGAGGAGTGCTGTGAGTTCAAGGCCAATTTGAACTACATCTCAGAAAATGAAAAAAATGTGGTTCCTATAGTTTAACAAGAGGGTCCACTTGCCAGTCCTCTTTTTCCCAAATATTAAACTGGACTGCATTTTAGAACCTCAAAAGAACAACAGAATAAGTAGGCAAGGCTGCCACTCTTGCCTACTAAAAATCCCTGGTTACACAGCATTCTGCTCCCCTTCCATGAACTAAGAAAAAAGCCTGTCTCCTTGCCGGGCGTGATAGCGCACGCCTTTAATCCCAGTACTTAGGAGGCTGAGGCAGAAGGAGCACTGTGAGTTCAAGACCAGCCTGGGCTATACAGTTAAATTCCAGAGCAGTCTGAACTACATAGTGAGACCCTGTCTCAAAAAATAAAGAAAAAGAAAAAGCCTGCCTCCAACCTGGGCTTAATACAAAAAAATCTACTGAGATTTCACTTGCCTGGTGATAAAGAGATGAAGAACTGACCCAGACAGGATGGTTGGTGGTCACACATACTGGGGTTTCCTTTCAAGACAATTAAATGGAAACAAGGTAACAAAACTTACATAGACTCAATCATCTTCTTTGTAAAGACTTCATCAAATTCTTGCTTCAAACCTGTTTTCATGGTGTCAGAAAGGACAAGGCTGGGAAGATGGTTAACATGTCTTTCAGCTTCAACTTCTTCATCTTCATCAATTATCCTAAAGGCAGCAGATGTGAAGAAAAAACAGATTATGTGGTCAAACTATCATTTATTCTTCTAGTTAATGGATAAAACTATGAAAGTAAAAAAGGATAAAAGTAACAGGTGCTTAATAGCAAAAGAACAAATGAAGCCAAACCTCAATGGAAAAACAATCATCAAACAAGGCCACTCTTTTTCCCTGAGTGAAAAAAAGTATTCACAGAAGAAGTGCTCAACATTTCATTTAACAAACAAGTCTTTGTACTGAGTGTGGTTGTGCACGCCTGTAATCCCAGCGCTCAGGAAGCTGAGGCAAGAGGACTGCTACAAGTTCAAGGACAGCCTGAGCTACAAAGCAAGACTGTTTAAAAAAAAAAAAAAAAAAGTTTTAAGGCTGAGTGTGGTGGTACATGCCTAAAATCCCACCACTCTGGGAAGCTGACAAAGGACTGACAGTCTAACTGGGCAACTTAGTGAGGCCCTGTCCCAAAATTAAAAGGGCAGGTCCGGGGATTTAGCTCAGTGATTCCACCACCTCCCTTGGAAGCACAAGGACCCGAGTTCGATCCCCATTACCAATAAAATAAAATAAAATAAAATGGGATGGGGATATAGCTCAGTTTAAAAGCCTTAGGTTCAACCTCCAGTACCAAAAACAAACCAAGCCAAGCCAAGCCAAGCCAAGTCAAACAATGGAGTCAAATTTGAAAAAATAAATAACAGATCTCACAAACCAAAATTAATTATTCATAGATACTAAGTGAAAATATTTAATATAGCTCTATGAGAATTCACTTTAAAGAGGAACAGTAAGAAGCAAGCCAGATATATGTGCTGTCCACTACCTGTCCTCAATCTCCTGTAGCCTCCTTCGGGCAACCTCACACTGTGGTTCTCCAGTTGTCTGATCCATCTCTTCACAAATGGCATCTAACATGCCAGGTACAGGAAGCCCACCACTGCATGGGTTTACTCTGCGACTCTCTACGTCCGGATGTGTACAAAGAATCCAGTCATCAGGGCTAGGACAGAGCTCTGCTTCAGTCAGTCTTTTCTTTCTTTCTGGACAACTGGAAAAAAGAAGAAAAGAAAATTCAATAAAAACTTCAGTTATTACAAACTGAATGTTTATTATCTTTATTTCTAATCAAATTTTTTTGTTCTTTTGATACTAGGGATTGAACTCGGGACCTTGAACTTGCAAGGCAGGCGGTGGAACCACTGAGCTAAATCCTCGGCCTACATTTTTGATTTTTGAGACAGGAACTTGCTGTGTAGTCCAGGCTAGCCTACTCACTACGAAGCTTGGCCTCAAACTCGCAGCACCCTTACTGCCTCAGCCTCCCAAGTGCCTACATTACAAGTCATCACACCTGGCTCTCAATTCAAATTCTTAAATGTCTGAGGTCTCCCACTTGTAATCCCAGCTCCTTGGGAGGCTAAGGCACAGGATCACAATTTTAATGCCAGCCTGGCCCTCAAAAAAAAAAGTTTTTTTTAAATAGGCTGGGGAAACAGTTCAATGGGAGAACATTTGCTCAGAATGTGTGGCCCAGGATGCATGTTCAATCCCTAGTGTTGCAAAAACCTGAAACTTTAGCTTTTTAAAAATATTTGAAAAAGTGGGGAAGGGGAACCATGCCTGCTCCCAACCCAGCCGCCATCGCTCAAGCGCCGGGAGGAAGCCTGGGCCCGATCCACCTCGGGAAGGAGAGCCACGCCTGCTCCCGACCCAGCAGCCATCACTCAAGCGCCGGCAAGGTAGCCACGTCGTCGCCCCTGAACCCCCACAAGCCCCCCCGCCGCACTCTCAGACCTCCTGACTGTGCCAGTCTTTGGACCCACTCTGCAAAGACAGAGGTGGTTATCAAGGGTATTTTTCTGAGTTCCCAACTCAGAAAAAGAAAGGGCGTGCGAAACCTGTAATAGAAGGTTGCGGAGTTCAACCATTCAGAAGGTTGGGGAACTCAATCTGGGCCTTGCAGCCCGAGGTCAGTCAGCATCAGGGGGTTCAGCCATCAGCTAACTGAGATCAGGGGTCTTGCATCCTCACTCTGAGCCATTAAATGGTAAATACACTATATTGAAATTTTGTTCACTGCAGACATGTTCTGGATTTCAATTTAATTCAAATGATTTAAGGGTGATAGACTAGTGACTATCACCGGTGGTCAGTGTCAAAGTTGTGCTTGATCTTAATGTGTTGCTGATTGTATCAGTTGGGGTAAAGCATTGCCGTTGATTTGATGAGCTGTTTTCTCTGATGTTATGAAGATGAGAATGTCTGTGGGTCGTTAGAGACACAGAAGCTAGGGCGCAACTATATCAGGAAGATTTGGGTGATAATCCAGAGATTAAACCAAGGACAGTCCGACAACAAAAATTAAAATGGGAAAACACTTAAGCAAGACACAAGGACAGACTTCCAGTTTACCAATAGCAAACAGTAGGGCAAATGAGGATGAAAAGGCCGATAGTGAACCACCAGGACACCCTGAACTCAAAGCACAGGAAGTAACAAAACAGATCAATCAGGCTCTGGAAAAATTCAAAACTGCAAAATGGAAAATGGAAGTCATGATTCGAGACTCTAGAGCAGAAACTGACAAAAAAAATAGATGAGCTCAGGACCATGATAGAAGCCAAGAAGGCCCAGCATAAGAAAGAAATGGAAAAAATAAATGCCCAATATAGGAAAGAACTGGAACCCATAAAACAGATTCAAACAGATATCCAGGAGATTAAACACTCTATTGAAAGTGTACGCAACAGAATAAAACAATGTGAATATAGGCTCTCAGATATGGAAGATAAGATTGCAGTCAGTGACCATGAAAAGAGGAGTCTCTTAAAAACAGTAAGAGATCATGAGAAATCGATCCAACAACTCCTAGATGATGCAAAGAAGAATAACATAAGACTGATAGGAATCCATGAAGTAGCAGGAGAAAATACAAATGACTTAAAGCTGTTCGCAGAATTAATGACAGAAAACTTCCCAAACAGAGGGGAAGAATTTGACATTCAGATAACTGAGGCATATAGGACCCCAACTAGCTACAATAAAAAAAAATCTACACCTAGACATATAATAATGAAGATCCCAGAAACCCAACAGAAGAACAAAATACTACAAGCAGTAAGAGAAAAGAAACAAATCACATACAAAGGAAAGCCCATCAGAATCACAGCAGACTTTTCAACACAAACGCTTGGGGCAAGGAGAGCCTGTAATGAGATATTTCAAGTACTAAAAGAGAACAATCTCCAACCTAGACTGATGTATCCAGCAAAACTCTCTTTCAAAATGGAGGGGGAAATAAGACACTTCCATGACAAAGAACACCTGAGAAACTATATGAATACCAAACCAGCACTACAAGGAATTCTAAACAAGATCCTAGAAAAAGACAATGAAGGCAACAACACCATGAGGCCCAACAGAGCAAATCAAATAGGCAAGGCAAGAAATAAAAAGGAGAAGTTGAAAAAATAAAAAGAGTCAACAAAAGGCCAATAATATGTCAATAATAAGTCAGTACATATCAGTTATAACCAGCAATGTCAATGGCCTCAACTCACCAATCAAGAGAAATAGACTGGCAAAATGGAATAAGAAGCAAAATCCAACAATATGTTGTATACAAGAAACACACCTAGTGCAAAAAGAAGCCCATAGACTGAAAGTGAAAAGATAGAAAACAATTCTCCATGTGACAGGAGCCCAGAAAAAAACAGGGGTAGCAATCTTATTTGCAGACAAAGTAAATTTCAAACCAAAACTGAATCTAGTACTATTGATGTAGGACGGTACTGTATCATACCTCTATGAATGTAAAATATCTAGTACCTGCTTTATGATACATAGTAGGGACCATGCTTTATCAGAGCTACATTTAATGATATTACTCTAGAATGTTCTCTTTCCAGATGATGATTAAGAGGCTAATAGAAAAAATGGTGCCAGGTACCACAACAGCAACAGAACTTTGCTGGTGTCTGGATATTATTCTTTTGTTTTGTTTTGTTTTGTTTTTTAAATGGAATGTGCTGAATGTCTATAATTTTGTTCAGATGACTGCAGACCCTGGAAAAGCTGTTGCTGCTATCGATGCATAACATAGTATTATTAGTCTTTATATACACATATGTATATATAAATTGAAGTTTGGGAAACTTTAACGGTGCTGCCAACTTTGGAAATAGTCATCCCAATTTACTGTGTTGAGTTGGCATTGTACAGAAATGGACAAGCATATTGGTCTAGAAATGTTAATTTATTTTTATTTTTATTTTTTATTTTTTTTCCATGTATACAGGGGTAACACATCGTACTAAATATGTAAGGTCATATCTACGTGGGTTTGATTACAGAAACTAATAAAGTATTCTCTAAATAATGAAAAAAAGAATAAGATAAGACTATAAGAGCGAGAAGCAATTTAAATATGTTCAGGGACCATTTTCATCTCCAGAATTAAGGATTATTTTAATGTTACATCATTGCCTTTTCTCTTTTACTTTCCTTTTTAGTTTTATTTTAGGATTCCCTATTTTTAATGTTCATACAGAGATTTCTTTAACTGAAATACCGAATAGTTTCTTTGGTGTGAAAAACTATAATAGTACACAGGATCCTAATGAGATAATTAATAATGTGAAATAGGAAGTAAAGGGCTAAAGGTGTAGGGAAAGTGGGAAGGGTGGGGGAAAGGTAATAAGGGAGAGGAAAAAAATATGAGAAACTGAAAAAATGGAAATAAAGTGTTTGTAAATGGGGAGGGGAGGAGGGGGTGGAGGGAGGGCAGGGACAAGGGGAAAAAATGAGAATCAAGACCTATTATGTAAAGGCACAGAATCCCAATGATGAATGTAATTGTATTGTATACGTAGATTGTACCAATAAACTCAATAAAAAGAAAAAAAAATTTGAAAAAGTAAAAGTGAAGAGGGAGAAAAACTAGTTCTACAGAGAGAGATTGGGCTGAGTTGAAGAGGAAAAGCAAGATAAAAGTACACTCAGGAGGACACAGGGTGGGCTATCATGAGGAGAGCCACAACAGCTAACTTTAGCTTTTTTGTGTGTTAAATAATGGAACATCGGGCATTTTTTCCCATCATTCTCACAAACTCCTTGAGATGTTTTCTTCTACTACTCTTTACTAACTTAGCACGGGTCAGGCATACCTGTAATCCCAGCACTCAGGAGGCTGAGGCAGGAGGATGACTGCCAGTTAGTTCCATGCCAGCCTGAACTAAATAGTGAGTTCAAGGCCAGCCTGAACTACATAGCAAGACCCCGTCTTAAAAATAAAACGACAACAAAAAAAAAGGTTTTACCCTTTTAAAATATAAATGTTCAAGACAGAACTTAAACCAAAAATGACAATGCACTGTTAGCCATACTTTGTCACACTGGTGGTGCTTCCCCACATACGTGGGAATGGGGTCTGATAAACATCTCATGTTCCCTTAGGGCAAAAATGCACACCTTGTCAGGTGTGTTCCACATACTAGAAGCACAGGTGATACCATGCTTTCTTGATCCTCATCCTACCCCCACCAGCACAATGTCAGATGCTAACATTTGGCTCTCAGTTCCTGACCAATAATCTTCTCTTATTCTGTAACATCCTGTATTTTCTGGACAAATATATAAAATCCTTAGAATTAACCAAATAAAATTAATCAAACTCAACTTCTTGTTTTTCTTAGACAAGGTCCTACAATGTACTTCAGGGTGGCCTCCTGCCTAAGCCTTCTGAGTGCTGGGGTAACAGGTACACACCACAATGCCTGTTTTCCAGCCTTTTTGGTGGTGCCAAAGACTGAGCCCAGGACCTTGTGCATGCTAGGCAAGTGCTCTACCACCAGGCCCCTTCAACACTTTTTCTTTTTGGTGCTGGGGATTGAACTCGACCTTGCTCTTGTGAGGCAGATGCTGGAAGCACTGAGCCAAATCCCCAGCACAACACTTTTTTTGGAAGCAAAATCTTTTAATGGTACATTTTATATATATATATATAATTATTATATATATATTATTAATATTAATATATATATATAATTA